ACACACACACACACACACACACACACACACACACACACACACACACAAAATCAATAAATGAATGAATGAATGAATACATAAATAAGTAAAATATAATTTAAAAAGAAATAGACCAAGTCTGACTCCTGGTGTCTTCCAGTGGTTCTAGTGAACCAGGCTCCTTTAAAGGAAAACTAAACTCAGACCTAGCCGTTTGCAGGAAGGGAAGAGCTTTGCAGGCCCCGCTGGGTGAAAATCACAGTGTTGTAGTGATTTCTCCTGCAACTCCGACTCAGCATCACCCTCCTGCAATTGCGGTGCAGCTCCAATACACCGAGAATAAATTGGAAGCAAAGAAGGGAGTGGACATTGGCCTGATTGGTATTTCAAATGCCCGAAAGCAAGGTTTGCCGTGTAATAGAATTTGTGTACATTACCGTGCTGGCATTACGGGGTAATCGAGTTATCCACTCAGGTGTGACCAGGCCTCTGTTTGCCCAGAGCCTGCAGGTGAACAAATTAACTGTTTACATTGTCTAGAGGTGCCTGCAGCAGGAGGGGGAGCGCAGAGCCAGACTGGCGGCCGGCCTTCTCTCTCCATCATGATTATTATGTTTGTTCTACATGTCTTTTGCCTTTTGTTAATGGCTTCTCACTGGGGGTCCCTTCCCTCCAGTTAGATCTAAGGGGCTGTGCAGTGACCTGTCCCGTGGTATAGAGTGGTGTGTGGTTACCATGGCTGTGGTATTTCTGTGAGAAGCCTAAGAACGCTAGACTGGTCTTTTGAAATCAACCTCTGTTCCCTCCTCCATGACTACATGCTAATGCATCAGAGTTTAATTTCGGCGAAAATGCCTCGCCGCCTTAATTCTATCAGCTTCTTTCTCCACTGTTCCGGAAGGTTCTAAGTCCATTAGTGTTTCTGGCCCCTAAGCTGTACCGGGTGCCTCCCTGCCTCATGTTGCTAATCCCTGCAAATCAGAGGAGGAAATAAGAAGGTAGCAGTTCAAAGGACGTTCCCTCACAAAACTTCATTCCAGTTAACGTCGGCTTAGGGAACATCTGGGATTGGATTCACCTTGATTCTATTACCTAACTCAATCAGAGCCCCTTGGACAGGAAGAAACCTTCAAAGACCTCCTATCCTATCCGCTTGTCTCTAAAAAGCACAAAAGAACCGAGTCATACAGATAGAAAAGGAGAATCTGATACCACCTAGAAACTCAGCCATTCCTTGCTCTCTAGAGCTGTCTCTCATATCCATCCTGCTGCAGCCCCAGCTGGCTTCCTTTGCTGGAGCAAGAGAACAAAGTGACCCAAACTGAGTTTGATCCAAGAAAATGGTGTCTGGAGTACTCCATATTTCTCCCCTCCAGAGGCCAGTAGCACCTTTGCTGAGCAAGAAAGGCCTCAGTCTAGCAACCTGCAGATGCCTCTTTCCCTGTGATAGGTATGACGCAGTCGTAGGGCTCAGCTCACCTGGACTTGTTTCCTCACTTGTAAAATTAGGGAGCTGTTTGTTCCACCACCGATATTCCCATGCTAAGCACAGTGGGCATGATGTTGCAAAGCCGCTCAAGAAATCCCACATGGAACTCTACTCCATTTAAAGAGCAAACATTCCGACTACCACCTGTTTTGTCTTCACCCCCTTAGGTACAACTGGTTTACTCTTCTCTAAGTAAAACTTATGGTGCTAAGGATCAAATCCAGGCCTTATGCACGGTAGGCCCTGGATATTCTACTACCAAGCTAAACCCATAGCCCTTTAGAAACACCGTGCCAAACCAAATGACACACTCGCTTAATCCCAGCACATGGGAGGCTGGGGTATGCTGATCTCTGTGAGTTTGAGGCTATCCTGGCCTGCATGTCAAGTTTCAGAACAGCCAGGGCTACATAAAAAAAAGACCCTGACTCAGGAAATATGTGGGGGTGGCAGGGGATGTGGGAGAAAGAATAAAAAGGCTGTGAGAAGGAAGTGCAAGGCAGGAGCATGGGATGAGCAGATGGGAAGGGAAAAGATGTCAGCTTTTAGCCCTGGGCTCCTGATGCTCCTTGCTGGGTTTGGGAGATGTTTGTTTGTTTGTTTGTTTGTTTGAACATGCATTGGTATTTTGCCTGTACTTAAGTCTGTGTCCTCAGAGGCCAGAAGAGGGTTTTGGGCCCCCTGGATATGGAGTTACAGATGGTTGTGAGTTCCGTTCAGGTGCTGGGAACTTAAAATGGATCCTCTGGAATGGCAGCTGGTGCTCTTAACCACCGACCCGTCGCTCCTGGCATATGATGCCTTTAAAATACATGGATAGATATAGAGATATAGGCATTATAGATCGAGATAGGATTGTGTTCAATAGTTTTGGTTAACAAGTCGTGTAACCTTGAGAAAAGTCACTTAAACTTTATAGGTTCTAATGTCCTTCTCTTGTACAAAGTAGGATAGTTTCTGTTCATAGGGTTGTGGTCAGAGAGCTGAGGTGAAGGCATAGGTAGCCCCGTAACTAATGACAACGGTTCTTCTCTCTTATCCACTAACACTACAGTAACACTACCCTTTGGTTGGGCATCTACACTAATTTCAATATATTACTGACACAACAGTGCAAAATGAGGGCTGGCAAGTTGGCACGGCGGGTAAAGATGCTTGCCACCAGGCCTGCCCTTTGAGTTCCATCCCTGGGACCCACAGAGCAGAAAGAACCAACTCCAGATGCTGTCCTCCGAGTGCCACAGGCTCTCACGTTGGCACGTACAGAAACACTCTACACACATACACAGACACACACATAAATAAATTTAAATCCTTTTTTTTTTTTTTTTAATGAGAAAAGTGGTCATGGGCCAATAATTCCTCAGAAGCTTCATGGATTGAAGCACAAAGTTCTCTCGCTGGAGTAAGAACACTTACTCCCCAGTGAAGGGGCCTACGTGGAAATCCACCATGTCTTCCGTGGTCTAGAAATCTCGTCACTGACACCAGAGTCCCCCAACTTCTCCCTCCCGGAAGAGGCCAGAGCCCTGTACCCCATCTCCGCAAAGCAGTAACAAGGACACAAGTCAGCAGAGAGCCCTCCCGCTGACCGCCCCTCAGCGCATCCAAACATTCATTCCAAGGCCCCACGCAGCTTCATGCCCACTTAACTCACTGACTTCCAATTTGGGTCTTAAAATATACTAGAGGAACATTTTAATAACGAAGCGGATGCGAACATCCAGCGGATGCTCCCGAGCTCCTTTTCGGGGGGGAGTGGGAAGGGGGAGGTCCCAGATATTCCTGGTAAGAGCCTCCCTCCCCTCCCCCAAACAGGAGCCGGGGACACAGCTCAAGCCACAGCAGGTGTTCAGCGCTCTTCAGTGGCTCCAGATTGCAGCGCTGGTGCAGGCCTCCTCATACGTAACGGATCGCTCCTGAGAGCCTGCCTCTCGTAAATTACTTCCCGCGATGCCAGCGACCACCGCAGAATTCCAGTTTGAATAGACCGAGGGAGAAGGTGTTGGAGAGGCCTGTTCACTCAGCTGCATTTTAATTTCCTTTTCAATCTTGTCCCAATTAATTTCACAGAATTAATCTCACAGAAGCAAACTCCGGCAGCACCGAGGCTGTGGTTTCAGTGTGGCGGTCGCTCTGCCTGAA